ATATTACTTGGGTCATACTGTAACAACCTTGAATTGATAACACTCATGTATAAAGCATTAAATAAATGCTTGTGAAGTACACTGCACCTTTTTTTAAATGACTGAGTGAAAGTGTTGCAAAAATTCCAAAGTGTCGTTGGAATATCTCGTGACCGCCATCAGTTTCTGGAAGTGTATTTATCTATCAACATGAGGGTAATGGAAAATATACGCTACTCTCCAGAAATGAAGTCACATGTGATGTGTGTGAGTGTTTTAAGGCCTGACTGAGTGAATGATGAAAGTGTGACATTTGTTCCTGTGCTCTTGTCCCATGATGCCCACCTGACTCTCTCTCATCATCCTCAGATCTCGTGATTTCCAACACACTCATGGAGTCAAGAAAGCTCTCAAAATCAATTACAAATGCTCTGTTCTGCGGTAACGCATAGATTGTTATATGTATACGAGCATATTACTTTCTGAATATAAAATGCACAAAACTGTATACTCCCTACTATATTTCAAAAACAGACAGCAAAATAGAACATCATGTGCTGTCACATGACCTCCCTTCGTTTGTACTGTACATGACCTGATCATGTTTAATTTGGCAAGAGTGTCTTTTGCGTGAATGAGCCAGGAAAAATATTTTAAAACTTAAGGCAGATATTCCATTTTCAATGCATTTAATACATTGATTAGTCACACTGGAAATGTTCAGTGTAAAAAAAAATAAAATATATATATATATATATATATATATATATTAGTGCTGTCAAATAAAATATATTTTATTTTTATTTAATTTCAGTTACATTTTAAACATTTCACAAATACACACACACACACACACACACACACACACACACATATATATATATATATATTGGTGCTGTCAAATCGCTACATAATTTATTTTTATTCAATTTCAGTTACATTTCAAACATTTCATATTTAAAGGTTTTCATCTTATATTTAAATTTTATTTCTGCTTTATTTCAATTGCTAAAAAATTATTATTATTATTATTATTTTTAACTACAGTTTTTATTTAACAATAATAAATACTGATATGATATGGAAATTCTATCCATGTCAAGCTTTTTCTTTAGATTTGTGATGCCTTTAGGTTTCTATGGATCAATGAAGTGTCTTCCATAACTCCTGCTTGTATTTTCACTCATGTGACCCCGAGCACTTCTAGAAATCTGTTGTCATATGAAATCAAGCCTCCAGGATTTTGTAGCCTCTTAACATTGGACTGTCTCCATCATTTGGGCAACCTTTGGAAAATATCTTCTCTTTAAAGTTTCCTGCTGTTCTCTCAGAGGGACTTTCCATCGATTGTGGGCATATCGTACAATAGGTGGTTTTGGACTGGAATGCATGTGTGGGCGAACATATAAAAAGGTTTTTACGCAAAGGCAGACTCAATGAGCTGTCGCTGCAGTGACTCCCTTCATATTGTTTTCAGTGTGAAGTTTAACAAGGGCAGCTTTAAAAAAACCTCATAAAACACTGTTTGCGCGGAGGGTGGCATGCTGTGTTTACTAATTAATACCTGAAATGTGCCTTGGTCTCATCAGGGGAGTACACGGAGGGACGAGGGAGTACAACACAAAAACATGCCTGTTAAATAAGAACTTGATGAGATGATGATTTTCCCTTATGGTTTTGGCTCACATAGAAAACACCCAGAGGTTAAAGGGTTAGTTCACCCCAAAATGAAAATTCTGTTAGTATTTACTCGCCCTCATTTTGTTACAACCACATAAGACATTCGTTCATCTTTGGAACACAAACTAAGATATTTTTGATTAAATCTGAGAGCTGGATCACTCCTTCATAGGCTTCTAAAGGGATCAAAACTGGCCGGCCCAAAAGTTATTAAAGGGTAACTAAACCCCTGGTCAGAGCCTGACTCCACCCACTGCCAATATTTGAAAATGCTGAAAAAGTGGGCAGACCCCAGCGGAGATAGAGGGGACAAAATGCTAAAACACTCTATCCTGATCGTTTTCAATACTTGCAATTCCAACTCCTGACTCGCTATATTGGTTTTCATGAAACAAGCTGGTTTTGATGCGCCAAGGGCGTAGCTCGTACCAAGAAACGTGCATACGTCACGAAGAACCGCTAACATCCAATAGGAAAATTCAACTGCAGTAGCCACCGTTCAACCTGAAGAGGGCAGCACTAAGATGTTTTTACACCATTGTAGAAATTAAACGCTTTATACACAAATGTCAAAAAAGTTACTCGAATCAATGACCGGTATTAATAAAGATCCATTCTTACAGATCATTAACTAAAAAAAGTTGGTTTAGGTTTAGTTACTCTTTAAAGAAATCGTTAAAATAGTCAGAGTGACTACAGTGGCTCAATCTTAAGTTTATCAAGTGACGAGAAGGCTTTTTGTGTGCAAAAAATATATACATTTATACAACTTTATACAACTATTCATTTCCTGCTCTTTTGGCCTCGAGATTTCACGTAGTGGAACCGCGCAACGGTTCTGGGTTGCACGTCACACGCAGTGTGTGACGTATAACCTAGAAGCTTTGCGCAGCTTCACTACGTGAAATCTCGAGACCAACAGAGAAGGAAATGAATAATAAATATTAAATAAAAATAATATTATTCTTTTATTTTATTTTTTTTTTGCGCACAAAAAGTATTTTCATCGCTTGATTGAGCCACTGTAATCACTCTGACTATTTTACCGATATTTTTAGTAACTTTTGGGCTGGCCAGTTTTGATCCCTTAAAGGAGTAGTTCACTTTTTAAAAAACTTTTGCTGATAATTTACTCACCCCTATGTCATCCAAGATATCCATGTCTTTCATTCTTCAGTCGAAAAGAAATTAAGGTTTTTGATGAACATTATAGGATTTATCTCCATATAATGGACTTCAATGGGCCAAACGGTCCAAGGTCTAAATGACAGCTTCAAACGGCTTTAAACGACACCAGGCGATGAATAAGGGTCTTATCTAAGTTTTATAAGCACAAATGCTCACCTTGCTCTGTTCTGTGATGAGCGTTCGTGACATCAGTTCGAGTCATTTCGTTCGTTTAATGAGTAGTGAGTCATTTGTGTTCCGAAGATGAACGAAAGTCTTATGGGGTTGAACAACATGAGGGTGAGTAATTACTGACAGAATTTTATTTTTAAGGTGAAATAACTTTTAATAGAGATTCACAAATGTTATCCATCCGAGAGGCTTGATTGAGCAGTTTAAATGTAAGGAAGTCAGAGTTTTATTCTCAGCTGTGCTGTGTCTCTCACAGACTACATGGAAGGGAGGATGAGAGGAAATAGTTGTCTGGTGTTTTGGACTGAATTAAAGGAAATACTTCCTGTACATCAATTTAAAGGGACAGTTCACCCCAAAATGAACCTTTTTTTTCCCATGAAACACAAAAGCAGATGCTTAACAGAATGATCTGGTTCTGAATTTCATACTAGGAGATTTAATAACAGCAAGGACTCTCCAGATCCCAAAAAAAAAACACTAATGAAAGTATCAGATCTGTCCAGAACTACGTTTACACGACAAACTATTTATGAAAACATTTTCTAATATTCCGTTGTGACAAAACCTGATAAATGTATATAAAACCCATAGTAATGATACTTTGTCTACTGCTTTTACAATAATTACACTAGATATGAGGTATCTATGTAGTAATAGTCTCCAACACGCTGAGTTTTGTCCTCTCCCCCAGTTCAGCTGCATTGACATCCTGTTAAGCAAAAAGATTCTGGTTCGGGATGTCTCTTCCTCTGTCCGCCCTGGTTGCCCACATTAGCGGACATCCTCTCTGCTCTGTGTTTAAAGACACATTCTGAGACAACAGACTAACATATGTGAGGAAATCACTGATGTGTCCTAAATATTGGACAGATTTATGAGGTGTAGTGACAGTATGAGATTATATTTGACATGTATTGTAAGGCAGTATGGGTTGGACTGCATATGTAGACTCTAAAAGGCTCTAATCATTCACCTAGTGCTCTTGAATTGAGTATGTTTATATCTCCATCCCTGTGGACTGTGTAGACTCCATTCTTACCACTAGGGGGCAGAAGGTGCAATACTTTAAACAGGCATAAACTCTTGTCAAGCTAGAGAATGTTGCAACATTTGAAAGGAATGCTCGCACTTCATACTTATCTCACTTTATGGTCATATACTAAAGATTTGACTATTGTTATTTGCTGTCTTGTAATCATGATACTTGTAATTGTGTGAAAATGTTAGACTAAATGTTGGCGGTTTTAGTTTGATATTTAACCTTCAAATGGTCTTCGTTTCCTGTTTACACTTCTGGGCTTCGGGGTCTATATGACCCCAACAATTGATTGAGTAATTGTACAAAAAATATACATTTTTAGTCATAGAAATAATATATCATTTTTTTTGTTTACTTCTCATCTATTCATTAATGCTGTGTTTTTGGAGCTATAAAGTACTTTTGTATCCATATACCACACAATTCCTCAACTACACCATTAGCTTGCATATGAAATGTTATTTTTTTTTATGATACATTGCATTTCTGCTTTAGTATTAGGCCTTCAATTCTGTGTAAAAATTTTCAGATTTATGCCGATTTTTTTTTCACACAACGAAGAATATATATTTAGTTTTTTCCCATTTCCCATTCATTTCAATGTGGGGTCATATTGACCCCGAAGACCAGAAGTGAAGGCTAAACATTTTTTTTTTACATACCTTCAGAACAACCGAATCAAGCCCATATTCTTTGTGTGTGTATAGATAGAGAATGTACGAAAAGTCACAAAATCTTATTCCACTGAGATGAAGGGAACCTTTTTTAATAAGTAAAAGTCCATTGGAAGAACTAGGGTAAATCAAATGTGATTTTTAAAAGACTGTTACATTTTCTATAAAAGAAATGCTAATAGTGATGCATTAGCAAGCACCATGAATTATATGTTCAATAAAATGCTATGTTTTAATGAAATATATTTCTCTCTCTCTCTCACCAGGAGGCATTTGTGGAGCTCTACAGCAGGCAGAGGGAATCAGTGTTTCGCAGCTCGTGGTCGTCAATAGTAACGGTCTTCGGTCTAGCCGCTCTCGGGGCCGTTGGCTTGACCATAGGAGCCTACCTTGCCCAGAAATGAGGAACCTTCGCCTCCTTCACTCGCTTGCCCTTTCTCCCTTCAGTCAACCCCCTCCTCTGCTTTCCCCAGAAGACATCCATGTCCCAGGACTGCTCCTCTTCAAAGCTTTTCTCCCACTCTCCACAAGTCTTTCTTCTCTGCCTTCAAACACAAAGACAGAAAAGACAGGAAATGAATGCGCTGCCGACACATCACGAGAGGATGGCAGAGAAGATGAATAATGAGGTGAAACAGACATTGGCGGATGTGTCATTGGCAGAATTAGCTCAGATCTCAAAGTGAATTTTGAGTGTAGCACACATTAGTGTATTTATACATAAAAATGATGGGAAAACGCAAAGGACAAGAAACATCTGGAGGTTTTGAGGTATCTTTTGATGACACCAGCACTCTCCAAATGTCCTTGAACAGTCAGGTTGATCTTAAGAGACAATCTGCACTAAATTACCATCGTTTATCTTAGTTGTTTTTGTAGGATTAATAGTAGCTTCGTCTTTTACCAATTTCAGGCTAACGTTTCTTGTGATATTTCCGCCACCCTTGTCTCATAGAGTGTGAGTAAGAACCAGAAGAACTGTGAATGGCGTGAGCTTTAAGACAGTGTCCCTCTAGACACTGGATTTTGATGAAATCTTGTGCTCACTGATTTCAAGAAGGAACAGCTGAAAAATGGATAGTGGGAAGCCATTTTCTCTTTGTAGCAATAGCAACTTAAAGAACTTTATTGAGGACTTAAAGGGGTCATCGAATGCCCATGTTCCACAAGTTGGTATGATTCTTTAGGGTAAAGTTTGTAACATACTTTGGTTAAAATTCCAACAACACCCTTTTTACCTCCTCAAAACGGCTCTGTTCACAGCGACCCGTATCGGTGCATGTCTCTTTAAATGATAATGAGCAACTGCTCACCCCACCCCTCTCTTCCGTGGGGCATGTGTTGACGACACAACATGTAAAGTGCTGCCTTGGCAACCTGTCTTGTGGACTAATGGCTGAGGGCACAAATATGCTAATACGGGACAGTCCGTCAGTGGTCGTGGGCGGAGCATGAGCAATATGACATCATAATGCTCAGAAAATCCAAATGGAGTGTTTAGACATTTTGAGGATGTATATTTTTTTATCGTATGGTGGTTGTGTCCACACACTGCTAAGACATTTATATGCAAACACCATATAAAAGTGAATTTTGCGTCCGATGACCCCTTTAAGAAGGGTTTCCTTGAAGTGCTTGGGGTCAGAATGTAGTTTTCAGACTTTGAGAGAGCCGAGGTAAGATGCATTAATGACATGTTCGACAGATGATTATGAGCTGGTCAAAACACCTCTAGTTGTACAGTGTGTGCATTGATGCTTTATTCTTCTTTAACACTCTAACTACACTGTTGTCCACCAGTGGTCATTCATACACCACAAGAAGCAGTTCAAATCTCAAAAATGTCCAGGTCATATCTCACCCCCAAATCAAGAGAAAAAAACTATTGTCAAATGTTTGGGGTCAGTGCAATTTATAATTATTTTTTTTTAAAATAAATTAATACATTTATTCAGCAAGTATGCATTAAATTGATCAAGTGACAGTACAGACATTTATAACATGAAAAAAGATATTTTATTTCAAATAAATTCTTTTGAAATTTGTATTCATCAGAAAATACTGAAAAAAAATACACACAAACACACACATATATACTGTATATGTGTGTACAGGGCCTAAAATTAACTCTGCAAGCGCCAAATAAAAGTAAAAATCTGCGTAGGAGAGTATCTGAAATGATCAATCGTGATCAATCGTCAGTTGGCCGAAAACATTTTTATGGATTCTAATAATGCAATGTTGTGCGAACGCGAACCAGCCAGCGCTGCATCATCACGTAAGTATAAGCCTTGTCTAGTTAAATATTCAAGCGCAAGAAGATGCGAAAGGGAACTCAATTCGATACTTGCGCGCTGTATGGGAAATTTAAACATCTGAAAAATGTCTCAGACAGTGCGTGAATACTTAATTGAGCTCTCTTTCACGTCATCTTGCACTTTAATGGACAACCTCGCACCAAATTATGTCAAAAATGCCTGTCTCCTTAAGTATCCTAGTAAACATAGTCAGTTATGGCTTAGGTGAACTTAAACAGATATAAAATACAAGTTCTAAAGAAATAAAACGCATGTGGAACAGTATATTGGATCCGTGCGTTCGGTCTTAAAGTGACAGCAGCCTAATATTCCTGCTGCTGTCTTTTTTATGTCCATCCAACCACAAAGGACAAGAGTAAAAGTAGAAAAGTCACTCACTGCTCTTGACTGAATAACTTCTGTAACTTCAATATATGTTTAATTTATACAGTGAAGACTATGCAGACTATATTTACATGTATAGCCTATTAGTTAGGCTAGAATTTTAGCTGTAGTATCAAAATTGGAAAAGAGAATTGTGGATTTTCACTAGTATCTAAAATTTGGTGTCATAACTGTTTCATGACCAGAGAAAAATATTAGTTAGGCTAGTATTTTAGCTGTAGTATCAAAATTGGAAAAGATAATTGTGGATTTTCACGGCCATTAGCAGGTGCGTCAAAAAGTTAGTTTTAGGCCCTGTAAATGTATATATTGAACCATATACCAATATAATATTGTGAATAAGTACCTTATTGCTTATAATATATAAATATATTATACGTTTAATATATATACATTGTATATACGCACATTTCCAACGACATTCTTATTACTCTAATGTTTTAATAAAGTTCATAATTTGTTATATTGCACACAAACAAAAATTATTTGGGGTGAAATGTGACTGGGACATGTTTTCATGAAATTCTCCCAGTGGTCCAGACTTTTCATCGCTATTATTATTATTTAATTTCCAAAGCATCAACTCCAGGGATCAGTTGGGTCCAGTATAAACAAATGGAAATCTGCAGTGGAAATCCATTCTTTGTTCCTTGGATTTGGTGTTTACCGTTATATGTGCAATCATCCTGATGTCTGTTCCCAAAAACAGCATGCTTAAACACAATCCTGCTGCATGTTAAAGGATTGCCATGCAGGAAATGAAAAGTTTAAGTGCAAAAACTGTGGACAAGAGCAACTGTATACAGTGTGCGCAATGGATTCAGCTTTGGTGCTTTCGCATCGGTCACCTTTGGGTTCACATGGAACCAAAATGAAACTTTGGAACCGCAAAGGGACAAACGTACCAGGAAGGCGACGGATATTCAATGTTCGCTTGCATTGATGTAGTATCGGAGGTCATGTGCTGCATCATTAACTATGATCTCCTCTACAGACTGTATGGGGTGCTAATATGCTTGTGAGAAATGGGTGCCCTCTCCAGTAGATCTTACATCCTGAACCAGTCAATGTTACTTGTTATCTGCCTTTATGGATGTATGTTCATTTTTCAATGTGATACTGTCTAAAATATTCAGTATTTAATCGGTGGTTTATAGATGAATTTGGAAATCAACAATGTCCAGCAAAGGAGATGAACAGGCTACGTGTGTAAGAGTAACTTCTACTGACATGTCTAATGTAGTAGCACGGTCAAAAACAACAAAACCCGTCTGAAAGGATCGAAGCTTTATATGTAAAACAAGGAACTGTTTATCCAAGTGTCATAAATAGATGCTGTTTGACTCTAGTTTACAGTTGCGATTTTCTCTGACACTAACATTTGTTCAAATGTTTCTAACAGATAGATTTCGTTTTTATCTCACCTTTATTTATTTTTAGGTACCTTAAATCAATCGTCCAACTGTAACTTCAAAAGATCATTTAGATTTTATTTCATTTTTAGGTTTTAGAGATTTGGAGCGCAAGTTTGATCCTAATTTGCTGAATTAATGCTGCTTAATGTAAAGATGATAAAGTCTATAAATTATAATGTAATTTCCTGTTCTGTGTGGCGATGTCATGAAAATGAATACTTATGGTGCATTCACATGCTATTGAAAATACGATATTTTCCACTTGTGAACTGGTATTTACCAATGTGTTGCGTTCAAGTGCTTTTGTTGTCGTCGTAATGTGGTAGAAAGATGGAGATCCAGACCTGTCATTTAGCTAAAACTATTTTAGATTGCTTAAGTTATCCGTTACAGCAAGAAAATGATTTAGCAAAACTCAAAGTAAATAATATGCTGTACTGTAGGTCTATATTTTCTAGATCATGAATAGTACATATTTTTCGTGTTGGTATTTGGTATTTACCATAATTACCATAGCACGTGAATGCACCATTAATTTCATGTAGTCACTGTTTTTGTAGCGGTATGGAAACCCATATTGAAGCTTTATTATCCCTCTTACATCCTACCTGGAGAGGCCATTAAAATGTATTCTGCTATTGTATTTTTATTAGTGAGAAGTCAATTTTAACATGTCAACATAACATCTTTGGAGAAAATTCATGAAACTTGGATTGGAAATGTTACTAGAGAAGCAAATGTAAGATATTAAAATGATATTCGCACAGTTTTTCTTGTAAACATCATTCAATTGTTAAATGATTTATTCTTACAGTCGCACAATTTTTCTTGTAAACATTTAACAATTTAATGAGGGTTGTTTAAACAAGAAAAAATTAACCATATCCACGATATATTCTCTAAAAAAAAGTCTTATAATCGTACACAGTTTTGCTTCTCAAGTAAATATCTTGTTTTATGGATTTGGCAATATTTTACTGGGAAACGCAACAATATAATGATTAATAAAATGATTTTTCAATCTTTTAATCATAAACTTCAAAGTCTCATTTCATATCATGGTTAAATGTTTTTCATTAATTAAATCTGTTCATGTCTCATAAATTAAATTCAGCTTTGTTTATCTCAACTAAAACCGTCATGTTAAAATTGAGCTTTTGCTTGAGAAAATACTACGTCTTTGGAACATGCCTTTTATTTTGATGTTTGGAAAGCTATGTAATTTATATATAAATATATAATATGTATAGTATAAAACTGACTTTTCTTTGCACTATTATATTTGAGTGCACTGAAGAAATTTATATTAGTCTATTAACGAATGCATCATTCACTTGACCAAGGTTTCTCAAGTCTGGGCCTCGAGGTCCACTTTCCTGCAGAGTTTTGCTCCAACCCTAATGAAACGCACACAAAGAAGCTGATCAATGTCAGGATTACTAGATACTCACAAATTGATCCAGTGTGGAGACAAAAATCTGCAGGAAAGTGGACGTCGATGATCAGACTTGAGAGCCCCCGCACTAGACTGTACTGAACGTTAGGTGACATCTTTCATGAGCTCTCTCTGAGCAACACATAATTATAAACATTCAAAAATAAAGGTGAAAAAGGTCACAATGTAAAGTAGACACAAACTATATGTCTGTTTCTGAATGATCCTGTGTTGTGTTGTTGTTAACGTACACCTGGAGCAATTTCACTTTGAAGAAAAGCTGCTATACTTTATGTGATAGCGATGCACAGGACACACAAAGTCACCGTGCTGTTGTGTATGATCATGTGTCACTGCTTGAATAAGCTACTAGAGTCCTTCTGTTCCTGCCAAAACAAATCAAGATTCAATAAAACAAATTTAAGACGCCATTGCCTCCGTGAAATGACTGATTTATGGTGATATTTCTGTGAGTTGATTCAAACAAACATAAGGCGGCAGTGTGTTGCAGTCGGTTATTTACACGCGGATACACTACGGTAGGTAAGATGGCCACGAGCACTGGGGGTGTTATGTATTCACCGTGTCCCCTAAACTTCAAAGACACATCTCCAATCCATCATATCCCACTAAATGCCATGCGTGTAAAAATGACTCCCGCAGGCCAACTTTCACTTCGCACTCAATCTCTCTCCTCACACGCTCTTTCTTTTTCTTCAGCTCATGGCGTTCTTCAAAAAGACACCACTGAATCTGTGAAAAGCATGAACGAATGGCGACTGAGAGAGCGCGACACACACACACAGAGGGAGAGAGAGAGTTCCCCGAGGAGTGAGTTCATCCCGCTTGAACCGCCTTCCGTCCCCAGAGCGCTGTCTCTCTCTCTTTCTCTCTGTCTTCATGCATATGGAATACACGACATGCTTTGACTGGAAAATCAACAGCAAATGAGCGTGTGAGCGACATGCTAATAGTTGTGTGCTAGTTTTTTTCCGTTCAAAGTGTTGTTTTGGACCCCATTGACTTTCATTGTATGGGCAGAAACAGTGAATACACAATTTTTCATTC